AGCTGTAGGGCACTGGGGTGTGAATGTGTTTAGGGCAAAGCTGGAACGTTTATTTTTTCATAGTTGGCAGTTGTTTATCACTCTCCTGGTTACACGTCTTTCTTCTGAAATTCTGCATAGAAAGGGGCCAGAGTTCAGCAGTTAGAATAATTCTCCTTACAGGTGGTACCTGATCAATCACCTCACGGGTGACATGAGACTGCTGACCTCTATATTGCATTTCACTGTGTAAGCTGTTCCTGCTCTGCCCCTTCCTGTGCAGGCCCTTTCTTCTCCCGAGGAACCATGCTGCACTTGAGTTACACTCCATTAGAGGTACCTCCCAAGCTGACATACTTTTGAAAATCTTCACAGGCAGTACCATGCAAAACCTTAGATGAGCAGGAGCTGTGTTACAATGTAAATCACAATATAGACAGGATATTAAGTTGGCTATGCAAAAGTTTCTGTATCAGTTACTTCCCTCCCAGAAGTTATGTGGTCATCAAAGTCTGATTATATAGAATTGGCAAAATAATACACTTGTGTAGAAAGACACAGCAGTTACTTAGTGAAGGCCAGAGGAGTACATAGTGTGTAACTGTTCCTGCTTGTGTGTTTTGAGGAGAATTTTTCTAGTGATTTTGGGCATGTCAAGTCTCATGGTAGTAATTTCTGGTGCTGTTGGTCTGTGAATACCTGTCATTGCCATCTTGGTGAATGATATCTGGGTTTACATATAATTCATGCCTCAATCTCGTGTCTGTCAGATGGATTCTGTTTCTCTTCAGAAGTCACAGCTGGTCTCCAGCTGTACCCAATGGCAGGACCTGAGGGAGTCCTTCAGGCTTTGTTACAGCTCAGGGCTGGATGTAGCAGCAACACCAAATCTTCTACATGCGACTCTGAAATGGCCTTGACCACCCTGAAGGCTGAGTGCTAAAACCAGGTGGTGAAACTGCAGCCAAAGCTGCAGTGCTGCAGGTCCAGGCTCACCATATGTGTGGGCAGCAAGGCAGGGCCTGTGCCCTGTGGCTCTCAGAGACTCTCCCAGTCCAGACTGAACTGACTTTGGACAAACCACTCCTATACCTTGATGCTTTCTTCACCCGTTTCTTGTGCTTCTTACCAGGTTTTGAAATGTTTTAGTCTTGTTTTGGTCTGTGTCCCCTAATGTGTTGGTTCACTTCTTTTTCTTCAATGAATCTGTCTGTCAAACTGACCTGAAGTGTTCAAGGCCAGGCTGGACGGGGCTTGGAGCAACCTGGTCTACTGGACCAGGTGTCCCTGACCATGGCAAGGGGGTAGAATGAGATGATCTTTAAGGTCCCTTCCAACCAAAACCATTCTGTGATTATATGACTTTTGCTTCTGTGACAAGAAATACAATCTCCCTTTTCAGAAATGTCCTTGCTCCTGCTCACGTAGAAAACGTACTCAGCTCCTCTTTTTTGTCTTTTTTACTATTTCTTGCATTACTGTCTACAGTAGGGTCCTTATTTCACCCAACAATGTGTTTACAGACTGGGCAAAGAACATCTGGGGATGTACTGTCTGATCCCAAGAGACAATGGCACTTGTGAGCCCTGCTAAGGGTTTATTTTTATGTGTAAGAAGAAAAGCTCTGTTAAACTGGCCCAAGAGATCCATGGAAATTAATTTATGCCCCTCTCCACTGACCGAGTGCTGGACTGAGCGGTGGTGTCTGTACAGGAGGGATAATATCAGCAGCTTCCTGAGCTCCAGCTGCTGGGGACAAAGGGCAGCAGAGCTCCAGTCATTCCTGGAGGGAGGAAGTTTAAGATGGAGGAATTTTAAAGAATGTGAAGGACAACCTCTTAAAAAATTGTGGGTGGAGCGATTCCCGGTCATCCAAACAGCTCCTAAGCCCAAGATTTATTTTCCTGCTTTGAACCTAGTTGCCGTTGTGGAGTTTATCTTCTGTGCTTTTTAACGCAACTACCGTCACCTTTGTGTGATTGCATAAATTGGCCCCAGTACGCTGGAACAGTTATTAGGAACCCCTTTCTTGTGTTGTTTCCTGAATTCCCACATTGTGGCGTGATGTGTGTGTGGAAACCGCTCACTTCCTCTGCTGGCAGCCGTTCAGATGAGTGCTGGAGCTCCTGAGGACTGCGCTGGGCGGGAGCTGGGTGAAGGGAGGATACAGCGGGAGAACATTGTAAGGAAGAGAGTTTGCATTTCATGCAGCTTTGTTCTTTTGCAGTTCCATAGTGCTGGTATCTCCAACTGTGGGTTAAACATGAGCAGTGCTCCTGGAATAAACAGGGCAGAGGAGCTGGGGTTAACACGCCTCAGGCAAGGCTCACCCCTTCCCAGTGCCTGCACGAAGCAATAGTTGTGCTTGCCTGATGACTCTGCCTTCTCGCTTTGCTCCCATATTTTCTTTGAGCACGTGGGAGGGAGACAGGATGTGTGACTGAGGCACATTTTATAACTCTTCCACTCGCTGTAGCTGTGTATTTCCCTTACAGCTCTACCCCACAGCATCCAAGCAAATATGTGCTTCAGTAGCTCCTTCTGCCTTGCCCTTTTTCTTTGGCATTTTCAAACTGTAAGGTTAGGGGACGTTAATGAGCTGGTTACATGTGTGTTTCTACATTTGTTCCAGTGAAATGTTCCAATGAATGAATGTCGGTTATGAGGCAAAAAAATAGATGTTTATATGTATTCTGCATTTGGGATTTCTGCAGTTTGACTTCCTGAACTTTTGTCCAGAGCTTCTTTTCAATGTTCAGAGTGGAGAATGTCAGAAAGGATTTGTTTGCACAGAGCAACTAAAAGGTAAATGGCTGAATCATGTCATGTCTCCTCACATGAAGTCAGAATTTCACAGTGCAAGGATTTGACATGTGGCCAGTTTTTTACTTTTAGTACTTTTGGAAACTGGTGGCATCTTACAGCCACACCTTGTCATACTGGGGCTACTTAATGGGCTTCATATTTGCGTGGTTATGCTTTATGTATTAAATCAGCTGTGGACACACTGTGACAGTTTCATCCATTTTTTTTGTTTTGCTCTTTCTTGAAATTCCAAGTTAGTGACCAGGAGCCAAGTGGAAGCTGTCACTGGGAGATCGTTCTCCTCCTGAGTTCAGGACAGGAGTGATCTCACTGGGGGAGGATTCTAGTGCTTTATATGCAAAAGCTGGAGGTGGATTGTGAGAAAGGCAGGGTACCATTTTTGTACACAAGTAAGTCCCGACTGAAGGACCAGTTTGTTATCTCGGCTTTGTTTAGGCTGGGGATTTTCCCTGATTACAGGGATGGGGCAAGGAAAACTTGGTGTTGCTTACCCCATTTCAGAGCAAGAGCTTTGCCTCTCTGATGCAGAGGCTGGTTCCACTGCAGAGCTGACAGTATTACTGTCAGTCCCAACTCCTGTTAGATCTAAAAGAGGGAGACTGGCTTAAGTCTTTCTTTTTATTATAATTTTGGGGTCCTTTAACTGGCTTTTGAGTGGGGAGACATGCTTTGCTTTAAAGGTTGTGACATATTTAAAGATAAGCTATTTTAGAAGTTGAAATTCTACAGTGTGATTCCAGGCTTTAAAGCCTTAGACAGAAGATATCTCTGAGCGTGGCCATCGTCTTTTATTGTGTGGTGAAATGCTGAAACAAAGCAAAACCATGGTTGTATTTGGGGAAAAGAACTGAAGTATCTTCCACCTCCTCTTCCCACACTGACCATTCAATCCAGCTGTGGCAGAGCAGTAGAGGTCTGTGGATAATTCCTGTTAGGATAGGCTGAGCCTTGGAAGATTCCGTGATGGACATTTTGATTTTAAGCAGAACATTACATACGGGGAACTCCTTTAATATACTGCCTGTGTGCAGTTAGTCGTGATCAGTTCTTGCTGCACTTTCAATTATTTTCAGCATTTGGCCAGGAAAAAGTGGGTGAGTCAGCCCCTTGGATGATGTACATTGATATAAACCTGTTTCACTCCACTGGCTTGGTGGGTCGGGTGTGAGACCTTGGGTCTGTCTTCTGTGGGTGCTCCCGCAGGTGCCTGGGTGACTTGTAGGGTGAAGCCCTTCCAGCCCCTCCATGGAGCACCGGGACTGGAGCATGGCCAAAGCTCCAGGTGGTGCCGCACAGGCTGGGCTGGAGCTCTGCCACTTCCCCAGGACAGGGACAGCGCTCAGCAGCTGCGGGGAGCAGTGGGGACACTGGTGGGGCAGCTCTGCGGAGGGACCGGGGTGCTCCTGAGGGGCATCAGGCCCAGCATCGCTGCTGGGCGAGAGGGGATTGTCCCGCTCTGCTCTGCACTGGGGCAGCCTCACCTGCAATATTGGGGCAGTTTTGGGCACCACAATGTAAGAAAGGTACTGTGCCATTCGAGAGCATCCAAAGGAGGGCAACGAAGATGGGGAAGGGCCTTGAGGGGAAGCCGTGTAAGGAGCGGCTGAGGGCACTTGGTGTGTTCAGCCTGAAGGAGATGGAGAGGAGACCTCGTTGTGGTGTACAACATCCTCCCGAGGGACAGTGGAGGGGCAGCTCCGATGTCTGCTCCGTGACCAGTGACAGGACCTGAGGAACGGCTGGAGCTGTGTCAGGGGAGGTTTAAATTGGATATTAGAAAGAGGGTGGTTGGGCACTGAACAGGCTGCCCAGGGCACTGGTCACGGCCCCAAGGCTGCCAGAGCTCCAGGAGCGTTTGGACAACGCTCTGAGGGACAGGGTGGGATTGTTGGGGTGTCCGTGCAGGGCCAGGAGCTGGACTCGCTGATCCCCGCGCGTCCCTTCCAGCTCAGGACCCTGCGGTTCCGTGCCCGCACACAATAGCGGCGGGCGGGGGCGGTGCCGCGGGCGGGGCGGGCCCTGGGCCGCTTCCTGCCCGCCCCGCCGAGCGCGTCCCGCGGCCGCCCGCGCCCGAGCAGCGGAAGGAGCGGAGCGGAGCTGCCCTGCCCTGCCCGGCCCGTCCCGCCCGGCCCCGCCGTGCCGCCGCCCGTGAGCCCGGCCCCGCCGCGCACAGGTAACCCCGAGAGGGAGCGAGCGGAGCCCGCGATGCCTCGGACCGCCCTGCCCTGCCGGGGCCGCGGGAGCCCCGCGCCGCGCTGCCACTGACAGCCCAGCGGCGCCGCTTCCACCGGGACGCCGACTTTTTCCTTCTTTTTGTTTATTCTGCCGATCTCGAGGTACCGCTATCCTCCTCCCAGGCACCGCGGGCAGGTCCTGGCGGACCGTATTGGATTTTTACCCTTCCGTCTCGATCTCCTGTCTGAAAAGATATTTATTTTTAATAAAAGAAAAAGTCCAGCCGCAAATCCAGTTCGTATCACGTTCCCCTTTCTGTGGAGTCCGGTGTATTTCTACAGATAAAAAAGTTTACTTCCCCTCCTCCAGTTTTATTGACACTGAGGATGAAGAAGGATTTGCAAATGAAAGCGCCTTGAAATACAGCATCTTTTGGAGAGAGCTCTGCAGTTCTCCAGCCTGTTGAGTCTCGAATTCCACCCTTTGCCCCTGCTGAATCCACTGTTCTGCCCTTTACTCTCTGGGGTAAAAAAACCAAACAACAACAACAAAAACCCGAGGGGAAAAAGAATACCTTTGGCAGCAGGGAAGCTTTGTGTGACTGACCCAACGAGCTACAAGTGTCCAGTTTCTGAAAAGAAGAAAACCCTTTTGTCTTCAGCAGATCAGTAGGTAAGAGACGTGCCCAAGGCACAAGGGACTCTGCATTCATTCATCAGCCTAAACCTGGGAGTTAGACTGGCTCTCCTCTGTCAGCTTTTGCCCATCACTTCTCTTTCCTGTAAATTTTACTTTTCATCTTGCAAAATTCTTGCAAGAAAAAAAATTACACTTGTCCACTAGCACTGGTAGTAAATTGCCAAATCAATAGAGATGTACTTGTGTGTAACTGGATCGAGTAAAACTCGGTGGAAGTCGCTGAAGTGGTTTTGTGTCAGGCTGTGTTTGAAAGCAGCTGCGTTTCTTGTGGTGCTCTTTTCGTTTGAGAAAATAATCACAATCATTGTGCTTGTAATCCACGTGTTGAGGTTGTCTTTGCTTGTTGTGCTCCACAGAGGAGCACGGATGTGCCTTTACGTATCACGCATGCAAACACGGCTGCCACAATTGGTTGGCATTTCTTGTTTCACGCTGGAATTTGTTTTACATTAAGTGCTTTACTACTGTGTCACAAGGTGTAAAAGTGTTGGATCTATAATTAACCTGCCTTAACAGATTATTGAACATGGCTAGGAACACGCTTGGCATTGTGCAGAGAGAGTATGAGGAGATGTTTCCTTTGTTTTGAGATTTTTTTTCAAAGTAAGACTGAAAATGCAGTGGAGACGTGCACATAATAACTGGATGAAGGCCCAGTCTCCGTGCAGGGAAACATATTTTGCAGAATACTCCTTTCTGTAGGGGCCAAGTGCTGGAAGTGTCCTCGTTTACAACTGATAATACTGCTGTGATTGTCTCATTTTCCTTCTCCCCCAGCTCTGTAACTGCATACCCCCTTCCCAAAGGCCGGAGTTTCATCACCATCAGCCTTTCCTGCAAGGAAAGGACCTGTGGAATTTTGTGTGGCTGGTAGTAGGACTCCTTGTGTCAGGGAGGATTATATTGTTCCCTGTGGAAACACACAGCATCCCCCAGCAGGAGGAACTGCCTGTTCACATGGTGAAACCAGCCTTAACATCAAGCTCTTCCCCACTGCATGGGTTTTTCCTGTGGATGATACAGGAAATACTGCATTTTAGTCTATCCTGGTCCTGGTCCTCATTCCTCTTTCTTTTTTAATTTTTTTTTTTCCTTCCTCTTCTGTGGAGGGATTTCTGTGGGAAAAGAAAGTGGAAAAGGTGTCCTGTTCCTGCCTTAGAGGAGAGGCAACAAGTCAGCATGCTCTGAGCTGCCAGACCTTCAGAGAACTTGGTCTGTGCTGAGGTGCAGCAGCCAGCAGGGTGCCTCATGAGGGGCCTGGGGCGGGTGACTGTCCACTGTCCATCCTGGGGCAGAGGACACGGCGTAGGTTTGGGTTGCCCTCTCACTTTTTTCTGCTGCCCTTGACTTTTTCTGTGGACTGAACCTATCTACCAGATCTGGGTTGGAACACAAGAACCATATTCTCAAGCTTTCCCTGCACCCTTGTGCTGCTCCTGTGTGAGTGATGGGCAGCATCAGGTTGGTTTTCAGGGCTGATATGAAAACATGAACCCTACCATCAGGACCATGACCCTGTTAAATCTTTGGGTCAGACTTTCACCAGGGTTACCTCAGTGACTGCTCCTCAAGGGAAATAGGGTCATGAGCTGACCCTGGAAAAATTTGTCCCATAGTTGAAGTTGCAGATTCATCTGGGACACTTGGTCTCCCTCTCTTTTACTTCCAGGACACTTACATGCAACATAACCCCTCTCCTTTAAACATTCCTCGGAGCCACAAACACAACACAGAATAATTTCTTTTTCTTGAGGAAAGTGAGGGATTTACAGATGGAGGAAAGGGGGTGCCTGGTCTTCTTCCAAACTCTTTGTCTTTCTGATTCTGGAGATGTTTTGCAGGCAGTGCTGCCTGCCCTGGGGAGGAGGCTGGAGGCAGAAAGGAAGCTGGGAATGGGAGTGGGCAAAACGGGTCATGGAGTGGGATGTGGGATTGGAGTGGTGCTGGCCCCTCATCACTGGGGCCTGGCTTGCCGTGACTCTTATTTAAATTGTGCAGGCTGGTTGATGTACTGATAGCATGGTTCACCATTCTGCCTGTTCATGGTGACACACACCATGAGATCCTGCCACAGATGTGGGAGAACCAAAGGGTTCCTCTTTCCTGAGGCTCAAGCCACTGTGGACTAAAGCTTTGTAGCAGAGAATGCTACAGCTGGACCACAAGGTTTTCATATGGCTGGAGTACAAATGTATAAAAATTCTCTGCAGTCTGTAATACAGCTCAAAGGGCAGCTGATTTAGACGTGCTTGAGTGTTAAGGTCAGGAGATCACATTCCACAGGTTACTAGATGAAAGTGCTTCAAGAGGGCATAGCATAAATATTTGATTCATATAGAAGGGATTGGTGCAAATCCTTTTGTCCCTTCCCCAAAGATGTTCTGTAGGAAAAGCACTGTTAGGAGAATAAAAGCCACCAAACAGCAGAAAACTTGTAACTTCTTTGTGCTGGAGGAGGTTGGATAGTAACATAGTATATTATTGTTGAATTCCACTGAAAATCCTCTCATGGGATACACTGTCTTCAAGAACAGTGAAGGGAACTAATGTTTTTAAGTGTAAAATGACTCATAATGCACAGGCTCTTGAGGTTGGGTTTAACATTGTATGCAAACATGGCCAGCTGGTGGGGATCTTTTGGGATAAATAAGAACTATATTTGTACAAGAAGGCTTGAATGATGCATTTCAGATGCATCCTGATTAGCATAAGCCATTCACTTTGCAAAAGAATAGCCAGAATCCCAGAAGTGGAGATAGTTTAATAGTTCTCTTGTTCTCTTTAGTCTGTCTTGCATCAGCAGACTGACCACTCTTTATGTTTATTTAGAAATAAGGTTGCATTGCTTTACTGCCACATTTTCCTAACCATGAGAGTGAAATTGAGAATTTGCTGTCCCCAAGTCCTCAAAGCATAAATGCTTCTCCCACTTCTCTCCCTTCCTTTAGTCTCCAGTTAAGTGTAATGTGTTTGGGTTTTGTTGGTTTTTTGTTTGGTTTGGTTTGGATTTTTTGTGGGTTTGTTTTGTTTTGTGTTTTTGTGGGGGTTTTTTTGTTTTGTTTTTTTTTATGGAACGACTTGCACTATTTAATTCTTTATAGGGCCCAGCACAATGATGCCTTGCTCTATGCTGGGGCTCACTGTCACTGCAATGAATGAACAGCTCAAGTAAAATTTGAGCTCATTAAAGCTTTATTTTCTTAACATGGAGCAAAATCTGATGTAGGATTGGGTTGTTGCTGTATTCATGTATACACAAAGATAGGTCTTTAATTCTAGATTTAGCAACAGTCCAAGATTATTTTAAAGTATAAATACTTATAGCTGTGAATGAATTTGTCTGTTCATACCCCTCATGAGGCAGAACTCTGTTGTGCAGTTCTTGCTTCATTCTTACTGATGGCTTTTAAATAGATGCAGAGCTGTACCCTGCTGGGAAGACAAAGCCCAATATAAGAAAGTTCTGAGTATGTATTAAACTAAAACCTGGCTCCAAACACCTGTAAAGGATGAGATGCAGAATATGCTGTGTGTTAGGTTCTGTTCTGAATTAAAAAGAAAACAATGACCTGGTTCTTGGCAAAAGGTTCATGGATTAATAGGTGTTCCCACTTTGGGCTGAAGTGTAAATGCTTTCAGAATAAAGTAAGATGCCTCTTTCCCCCCATCTGACTGTTGTTGCACATTCCCATATTTCAAGGTATTTTCAGACAGTCACTTCTGAAGAAGTCCTCTCAAAGGGTTCCCAATCAAAACAGCCTTATGGATTTTTTTCTCCTTGTTATTGGGGACAATATAGTGGGAGTGGAATGTCCTTGGTTGCCAATGTTTGCTGCTAGGTATTCTCCTTCCATGGAGACCAAATGTTTGTAATAGTGTGAGAACAGCCATTCTTGGTGATTGGCAAAAATTTCAAGGCTCTCTTTCTCTTTTTCTGTCCCCTGAAATACAAGAGAGGACTTGGATCTCTTAGTTCTTCATAGAAGTGTTCCAAATTGCCTGTTACTGGGGTTATACAGTTTCAGGAAGCACTAGAGGATTTGTCAGAGTGATTTAGTCTGTTGTGTTGAATCTGGGCCACAACCCATTTCTGTAAGCTCGTTGCTTTCAGGACTTCTTTGCTTCTCTCACTTTCTGATGAGTAGTTACTTTCTTGGTTAGACTTGCACCTACTCTTGTGCCTCATCTCTTCCCTCTCTGCATGTGCCCCGTGTGTGTGGCACCATCACCGTGCTGTGGACCTAAATCATTGTCTTTTATGAAGGAGCAGGCACATGGCTGCCCTGGGAGTTCCGTGTGGCTGCAGGAGCTCCTCAGTTGTTAAACCCTTTTACCCAGGAGAGAGTGTATTCCCAAACAGCTCTGGAATGCAGTGCTGGCCACAGGAAGGATTGCACGCTGCAGCCTCTGCGCTACAGCCCTGCCTTCAGCTTTTGCAAAAGTATTTGGTTCATGCTTTGGACAGATCTGATGCTGAAATCGTATCCATGTAAAAGTAATAGACTGTATGGAGAACTCTAAAGTCAGCAAATATCCAGGTCTTGCATATTACTTGGCTCTCCAGAGTAGCCTTGAAATGTAATCTTCAAGACAGAAAAAAATCTCAACAACTTTGGGGAATAATAGTTTAAACTTGCTTCTAGGAGCAATTAATTTTTAAATCTGCAATATAATCTTTGTCTTACTTGCCTACTATGCCTGTAAGTGAGAAGAGTTTTTCAGGATTGATGAAATTTGTGTTTACATAGACACTTGGATGTAATTTTTTATGTAAGAATGTATTTGAAATTCTGTGTATAAATGGCCATTCAGGGCAAACCAGACATTTGATGTCAGCAGGAGATCAGTGACTGAGGAATGAATAGGTGAATGAATAGGAATGGAAAAGTCATGAACAAAAAAACCCTTGAGAACAGAATAAAAAGGCTTGTGGAAACAAAATTCTCAAAGCCTTAAAATCTTGCCTTAGTAGA